TCGTGTTTGTTATCCTCGGTACAGCTCAAATGGTTGGTAATGTCATATCGCTCTTCAATTACACCCGAACCCAGCGGAGGCGGCAGGCACATTGCAATGCGTTCGGATTCCCTCCCAAGTGTTGTCCAAGTATCATTTTTTCCTTGTAATTCACTAAAACAAGGACAAACAAGGTTAAAAAAGGATAAAATGATTGAGATGCACTATAGTGGGAAGCCTAATACACTTCTGAGAGAGGAAGATCCAGTGTACACGCATTACATTAGGGTGGACCTTATTTTTGACTTTTGAATTTTTTTTACAACGCCCCTTAAAATTGTTCCATTTGGTGAAAAAAAAAATTGTGTAAAAGCTGAGCTCGATCGGACAACGGGAAGACGTACGTGGCATATCTAATTTGAAGTTTTTAAATTAATTCTTGGAACACTTTGTAAATATCAGGTTTGCTTTTTGCAAATATTAAATGGCAATATTTCTATAATGTGCTAATGAGAAAGAGAGAAAAAGAGAAAAACACCTGAGTGAATTATGCAATTAACTCTCAATTTAAAATTCTTTTAAATTTTATTTTAGTATAGATTTATAATTTATATTTTTAAAATTTAGTGCATAAAAACTTTATAATTTAAAACTATCGACGAATAAACATTTTTCTCCTAAATTTTCTTAAAAAAATAATTGCAGCTCTATGAAATTGACATGAAATTGATACGGAAATTGTGAAAACGCTTAAAATCTTAAATGACACAGCAGAACGGCTTGTGCAGAATTTTAATCAAATTTTGTCGAGAAATGAGGAAAAAAAAACAATTCATTTTTCATATCGTGTCACATTAAAGAACTCAGTATCCAAATGTCCAAAATCTACTCTTATTAAGGATTTATAAAATTACAATCCTATTTTAAAATTACCGTGTTACCTACGTTGAAGCCTCTTTTCGCCAATGTTTAAAAATTCATATCTTTCAGAAAAATAAAGATATAAACTTCTTTCTGGACTCATCTTAAAGATGAATTATGTGGCTATT